TTGGCCCCCAGAAGGGTCTTCAGGGCGGCGATTGGGTGCAAGCTTTCAGCGTTTTGAGTCAAAAGCCACTCTTCCTGTCCCTCTGGAACCAAATGCAACAAACGGGTGGAACAGCTGGCGGTGAGTTCGCATGGATTTGGTCTACATTTCTCGATGGACTCAAATCATGGTATCCGAGAGCCACTGGTTTCAAGATAGGAGTCGCTTATCCCGGCTTTGATGACGCCTACCAGGAGGGCGGATGGGGTGCCGGACCCGGCTATAAGATACCCACAAGTCTGGCCAACTTTCAGACCACCCTTGATCTGGCCCTATCTTACACCGATGTGGTACAGGTGTGCACTTGGAATGACTACGGAGAGGGCACTATCATTGAACCCACTCGTGAATATGGCTATGGATTCCTTACAATTATCCAGAAGAAGATGGGAGTGTCCTATACTGAAGCAGATCTCAAGAAAGTGACCGATATATACTTTGGCAGACGTGACAACGCAAACAACGCTACTATTCAATCTATTCTTGAAAAACAACATTTTGATCTCATTAACGCTAACTAAGCTATAATTGCTAATGTATTCATCAAAACTATGTTTTAAATAATAGTTTCAAAATTATTAAATTTATAAATAAATTGAAATATTAAACCAATTAAACAATTAGTAATTAATTTTATAAGAATTCATTCTTAAGAATATAAATATATAAGTGAAACGAATTTATAATATTAGGTAAGAATATGTAAAAATAAGGATTTTTTGTATTCTTGTCAAAAATATGAAATATATGCTCATGGTTAAGTTAGGTTAGGTTAGGCTTCGTCACACTAGTTGTATGGAATTATTGTCTATCATTATTAATTATTTGAGATTAAATTTTCAAATAGTACAAATGCCCTTATTCTGTTATCAACGTCAATGATTTTTTAGTTCAGCTAAACGTAAATTTAATCAAATTTTAAATGTTCTATTTGAACAAACATTATATTATTAATTGAATTATACTAATATTATATGAAAACAAAATAATTTAGTAATGGTATACATTGCTGTAACATTATAATTTATAAAGTGACTTTACATTATTCATATTAATTGATAGTGCAAGATAGTGCAATGTTACAATGATTTATTTTATTTCTTTATTCCATTTTCAAATAATTAAAATCTTAATTACATTTTAGCACAAAATTATTATAAACAAAGCGGTGGATCAATATTGAGTTTCCGAGCAAGATCGTTCTGTTAAATAATATATTAATAAAATTAATTTCACGATAGTTTGTATTTTTTAAAAATATATAATTGTTAAATTAATTTTTTAGCACTATACTATATTTATAAGTTATTATAATAACTTATTATAAAAGTCTATTACTCTAAAATTCCGTGCATTACCCGCACACATGTATAACCCGCATCTCAAACAAGTTATAACTTATAAATGATTACATAATTTGTAATTAGCCTATCGTTTGTTTTATGGCAGTAAAAATTGGTTAATATATTTTCACTTTATAATCACCTTATTTTCAATTGAAACAAAGAATTTAATTTAACATTGATAATTATAACGACAAATATGCTTTGTAGACTTGACTACAATAAGTAAAACATAATACGCACGGCAAATTGTATTTGATTGATGTGATAGGGAATGCCTCCCAACGAGTCACATAACTCCATGTGTTGTCGTTCGGGATCGCCGGCCACTATGACGTCGGTTCCGTCTTTGGCAGGCGTTTGGTTACGACATGAATCCAAAAGACTTTGCATTCTTTGGGCAAATCCAGGCGCAAAACAATCCGCATTTATGGCAATAAAACAATGACTCTAATCATATTTAAATCGTATTTATATGTTTATAATTTAGACAAAACTATATTTCATGTTTAAAATATTAATGAAATTATGAAAGTAATACCAAATCCATTGGATTAGAAGAGGTCTTGTGTTCCTTAATATTTGGCCCAAACAGACCTCCACTTAAAATACCACAAAATATTTCCGTCATCATTGAGAGTCCATATCCCTTATAACCACCTTTTTTTTGTTTAAATTAGTTTATTTTTAATTAATATAAAAATATATAATTTTAAATTATGATAAAATTGCACAAATTATACTGTAATCCTTATCTATTGCAAAATTGAGATCATTTTCAAAATATAGGATATTTGCGAGATATTGCCATTTATACCATTGCCATGTATAAATTATACATTGTCTAAAGATATACAGTAAGGCGATGTTCACAAATTACATTCGCACATGGGGGAGGGGGGTCGGACAATGCAAACTTTTGCAAACGAGGGGGAGGGGGGAGGTAAAGCCTTTAACAACGGTCGCATTTTAATAATTAAAGGAATTTAAGAGACAATATACTTGTTCCGACAACATGATTACTTTAAGCACTATTTCTAAAATTATTGGCGATTCCATATTTATGATTCATGATTTAAATGATTGGTTTAATTTTTATTACATTATTTATAAATAAAGTGGTATTTTATATCTTCTTAGACACATGCAAACGTTATTTTTTAATATAACTACATGCGAACAAGTGCGAACATAGAGGGGGAAGGGGTGTAGACATTTTGAAAAGTGCGAACGTAATATGTGGACGTCGCCTAATTAGAATAGCATAAACACTGTCCCCCTATAAGTCCTAAAACAGTTTTTATATAATTTAACAACATAATTTTATCAAAGTTAAAATGAAATTGATTAAGTATAATTTTATACTGAATTTTATACTTAATTAATTATTATTTAATTTCTATGTTACAATACTGTATTTAGTGCTTTTTGATTGTAAGTTCGACAATTTTATTAATGACCCTCAAAATAAAACGTTTACACTTAATGAGATTAAATGAGATTAAAATTGTCTATCATTTGATATAAGCAAAATTTCTGAAAATTGCTAATTTTAACTAGTTTAAAAAGTGCCAATTAATTGTCAGTAAAATTAAATTTAAAAATACTGATAAATTGAGGATGGGTGTATGCGTGGGATATTATGGCATTTATATGGTTGTACTTTACTTGAATTTTCTTCCCCTCCTAAGGGTAACAAAGCGTGAAAATTAGAAAAATGTTTGAGAGGGCGACCACTTTGGTCAATAGCCCAGCCCTCTGTAATTTGTTCATGTTTGCGATCGGCTATTTCCAATTTGCCCTTGGCCACTGCCGTTGTGGCCATGTCCAACACAAAACTATCGCCATTAAGACCGGGCGCTGCCAATGAGATTGGATTTGTTCCTATCGATGGGTTCTGAGCCCGAGTGGCCACCACTATAGGGGTTGCATTTGTAAA